GGATTCAGGATTGCCGCCGTGGTGCGGTGAGGGTCACAGCGACTCTGGTGCTTCACAAGGATCTGAGGCCCTGCTGTCCTGGGAACCAGGGGAGACGCTTCGCGTACTCTCAGGGACTCCAGCCAGCTTTGCACCGATGCGAGGCCTCTGGGAAGCATCAGGGAAATCACAGCAGGCTAGCTATTGCTCAGCATAAGAGGCAGGGAAAGGAAAAAAAAAACGAACGACAGACTTTTTCTAGAGGGATAAACAATATTTGTACAAGAGCTCATTAGAAATGCAAAGAGCAGAAAGCAGGTAAAACTGTCCCCGGTGTCCTACTGCTCGGGCACACAGGGGACAAGACCCGGAGCTATTTACTGTGGGTTCACATATTCATTTGCTCTTGCAAGGCTTTTGAGTATTATTTTCATTCATAGAAAAGCATATTTTCAGATCTTCACCCAGATGCAGAAAAGCACGAAATTAAGCGGCTGTGAAGGCTTTTCTCTGAAGAGAGAGAAGTCTGGGGGCACCTCTTCAAGTCTAACCTTGGCCGCTTCCTAGACAGAGCGCCGGGTGCATGGGGGCGAGAGGAACTGGGTGGTGGGGAAATCTGGAGGACACACATGCAGACGGGTGAACGGGCGACTGCAGGGAGCATCCGTGAAACTATTAAGGGGGCCTAAAATCCTATATTGCATACTACCAAAGTCACATACTTAAATGATGTATATTTAAAATGCTGGGGGACACATTTAAACTGACATATATTTTGCACTTCTGTAATTAATGAGGGCACTCTGAAAGCTATACAGAAATGCAAGCGTGAAATCTAATTCACTGATGTGTGGGTTCGCTAGCACTCCTTACCACACAGTACCTCAGCCAGTGTGGTTTCAACCACAGAAATCTGCCTTCTCCTAGTTGTGCAGGCTGAGATCAAGGTTTCTGCAGGGTCAATTCTTTCCGAAGGTTGTGAGGGAAGGAGCTGTTCAGATCTCTTTTTTTTTGCTCATAGATGGCCATCTTGTCCCTGTGTCTTCACATAGTCTTCGCTCTCTGCACGTCTGTGTTCAAATTCCCTCTTCTTCTAAGGACACCAGTCATATTGGATGAGGGCCCATGCTGATGTTCTCATTTTAACTTAATTACCTCTATAAAGACCCTCTCCAAGTATATTCACATTCTGAGGTATGAGGGTCAGGAATTCAGTATGAATTTTTGAGGGGGACATAATTCAGCCCATAACAATTGATACATAGAATCAGTTGGGACCAAAAAAAAAAAAAAATCAGTTGGAGAAGCAAATAAGAAATGACTTACGGAGCTGTACCTACTGAAATTTTAAATATTCTAGACTTCAAATTTTCCCCTTTGACATAAATCAAAATTTGATTTTTCAGTAGCACCAGTCATGTAATGTTGAACATCAGGTATGATAAGAGAAAGTAATGATGTGCTAATAATACACTTCATTTCTGGCTTAGGGTACCAATATAATTTATAAGATTTGATAATAAGACAGATTTTCTACCTGGGCCCTCATTCTTGCAGAAACAAGCTTTTGAACATTTACATATGATAGCAGAAATATATCTTTCCTGTGGTGAGGGTGGAAGAAGTCAGTGCATCTGTGTTGGGGAGGTCACAGGGAAGAAGTGTGAGGTCTTCAGAGTGGTGTACCGCTTGAGGAAGGGGCAGATGCTTTTGCTGAACATAGGAAACCCAACGTTAATTCCCCCCTCCATGGTTGTGTGTGTATGCATATCACTCTGCCTAACTCCGTAGAGTTCTTCAAACTTTGAAAGACAGGAGAATGAAGGTAGAGTCCCCATTACTAGCAGGTGTGACAACACATAATGACTGGGACACCAACCGCACATGCGTGCACACACCCTAACATCGGTATCAGAAACGCACACCTTGCACATGCAGTTCCCCTTGCCTTAGTTATGTTTCCCTCTCTTCAGGCTTATTTAGTAGTTAAAAACAAAATTTAGCCAGTGAACATCAAATTCAACCCCCACCCCACCACACACACCTTTTGTCTTCCTTCTCTAACTGTATACAAGTGAGAACACCGTGGATTAAAGGCCTCACAGAGGAAGCACTTCTGATCCCCTTCCTCACTGCTCTTCTCTCCTGGGACTCAGAGGGAAAATCCACACCGACGTTCAGCTGTTCCAAACCAATGAGTAAAACCAGACAAGTAATTATTTTGAAGAAGAATGTCGGTCTTACCTTCAGGCTAAATCTCATTCTTTTTCTCCCTGTGGATACTCTTTTACATCGTATGCATCTATGATGCCACAGTCAACAAGGAAGAAGAGAAATAGGCATTAAGGTCATAAAAATAAGCTGTCACATACCCATGACTTTAAAAAAAAAAAAAAAAGATTTTATTTGAGACAGAGAGAGCACATGAGAGGGGGGAGGGTCAGAGGGAGAAGCAGCCTCCCCGCCAAGCAGGGAGCCCGATGCGGGACCCGATCCAGGGACTCCAGGATCATGACCTGAGCCAAAGGCAGTCGCTTAACCAACTGAGCCACCCAGGCGCCCCATACCCATGACTCTTAAAAAAAAATACATACTTTTAGAGTACTTTAAAGACTCTCACAGCAAGCAGGAGTTTGTCTTGTTTGCCATCATATTCCAGCATCTAGAACAGTGCCAGGTATATAGTGGATATAGGGTTATATTTGCTAAATGAGTGTTTTTTGAACAGTAGTGGTCAAATAGGATATTAGAGGTGGTAACCTCACACGATATTCATGATGGCCCTCTGAGGAGGACAGACTAGGTGTTAGTATCCCCAGTTTATAGGAAACAGATGTTTATAGGAAGCAGATGCAAAATGATCAATTTGCCCAACATCACAGGGCTGGTAAATGGAAATTCTTTGAGGACTTCGTTCTTCGTATGATTTTAGGAGAATTTCAATGTTTCCTCATTGCCCTACTAAACAAAGGGCCATATGCCACATCTTAAGGATTTTGTTTTCTAATCAGAATTTTTAAAATGTATAGGTTCAGAATTTAGTGTACCATGACTCATATTAATTCCTGTTTCCTTACTGCCTCTTTTCTCCCCTATCAGAACTTGCTCTGCATCGTCTTGAGTTTTCTAAATAGAATACAGTCAAGATGGCCCTCCCGGTGGTTCATAGCAATATGAGGAGGCTTGATCCTTTCTATGGTATAAGTCTTAGGACTTTCTGAACACTTAAAGACACAGGTTGTTTTGTTTAATACAAGGTACACACATACCAGGAGAGAACGATGAATACTATCCTCCACCACCTCAAAAACTGGCCAGAGAAAGAACGAAGGCTTATAAATCCAGGAAGTTAAAACACACCAAGAGCAACACTGAGTGTTCAATGAATGCAGTGATGTCCCAGTAGGGATCATCCAAGGGAACAAAACCAGTCACTTTTCCAGCAGGTGCCCTTTGTGCTCACATTTCCACAGTGGCTCCCTTCCTGTTTGCATCTATTGAGGCTTCACAGCCTCCATCCCTGTGGGGAAGAGTGACATGTAGCATGGCGTGAGTGTACTTCCTTCTGTTGCCTTGGCTCTTTTCACTGTGAACTAAGGTGCCCTACCGTTTGACATCGGGATACTGATCACAATGGCTCTTAAAACCTTTGAGAGTAGCCGCTATGTGACTCTATTACCAAGCACTAGCTTTACGCTGGTGTAGCTCTGCTCCGAGCCAATTCGTGACCCTCATGCTCAGCAGATTACTCTGTGAGCTTGATAGGCTACTAAAATGGGACATAACTTTTATTCAGAGTTAA